TGGTGGGGATAAGGTTTGAAAGAGGTTTCTGAGGCAACATCTTACCCCTCCCTACAGGAGCCTTCCTCATCCCTTACCTCATCTTTCTCTTCACTTGTGGGATACCCCTGTTCTTCCTGGAGACAGCGCTGGGGCAGTACACCAGCCAGGGAGGGGTCACTGCCTGGAGGAACATCTGTCCCATCTTTGAAGGTCAGTCAGGTTACAGGAATTACTGGCAACACCTTCTGACAATTAGTAACTCAGCCTTTTCTGGAAATGTTTTTCTATTTTTGTTTTTCTTTCTCCTTTATTCTCCTTCCCTTCTTCTCTCTCCCATCTTTGTTATCTCTCCTGGTGACTGCTGTGTGTGCAGGGGCAGTGCCCCGACACCCCCTTAGGTGTCTGAGGGTGTGTCATGCTGGCTGGGGGCTGTGCTGGTCCAGCCAACCCTGCTTTGATGCTCAGAGCCCAGGAAAGAGGAGAAGCAGGATGGCCAGCAAGTGGGAGGAGAAGGCTGGAAATATCAATATGCAAACACCTGCATGTAGTCCAGGACAAATATTGAGTCATAGAATCGTAGAATTGTTTAGGTTGGAAAAGACCTTTAATATCATTGAGTCCAACCATTAACCCAGCACTGCCAAGTCCACCGATAAACTATGTCCCTGAGCATCACATCTACACATCTTTTAAATACCTCCAGGGATGGTGAATCAACCACTTCCCTGTGCAGATGGTCCCAGTGCTTGACAAACCATTTGCTGAAGAATTTTTTCCTAATACCCAATCTAAACCTCCCCTGGTACAACTTGAGGCCATTTCCTCCTGCCCTATCAAGAGGAATAGAGAAGAGGACGAGGAAGTTTGGCTGCCTTATGGCGATTTCTCTGCCCATTGCTTTTCCCAGGGCTGCTGTGGCAGCATTTGCAGGATAACGTCCTGCAGACTGGGGGGTACCACACTGCATGTGCTGGTCTGGCAGCCCAGAGATGGGATGGGCTTATGATCAAGGCACAGAGATCAGAACCAGGACTCCTAGGGCCCTGGTGAAAGCTGTTGCATGGCATGAATATGTTAATGAACCTAACAGTCACAATTATCATGGCCAGAGGAGAGCTTATTACCTGGGTCTGGCAGTCAGAGAAAGCTGTGCTCAAGCAGACTGAGGGCTTGCTCAGTTTGCTCAAGCACAGCTCTGCAGTGCTGTTTGAAACTCCCTGGGGAGCCCAGGACCTCCTGCACTGGAGACCCCTTTGCTCTGGTGCAGGGCCTGGAGGTGGACAGCAGTGTCATCTCAAAGCACAGTGGCTAGTTATAAATAAATAAATAAATAAAGTGGGCCTTTCTGATCCAATTATCGTTCTGATGTCTCAGTGAGCAATGGACACAAGCAGGACCCAAGTCAAATGCTCAGCTCTGAAGTCTGTACTGTTGCCCCAACACCGTGTTTTACACACGAGGTGTATCAGCTGTGAGAATCCTTTTTGCCCAAGTCTTTCCAGAATGAACAAAATCACCTCCAATTCTTTTCCTTAAAGGCTAGAGTTTCCTTTCCTGTAGGAGAGGCAGTGTAATGCAGTGGTATAGTAGTGGTCAAAAAACCCCCAGTTTTCCCATCAGCAAAAGGTTTCTCTCTGTTCCACCATAGACCTGACATGAGACATCACTGTTTCCTGTCTGCGTGAAGAGAAACCAAATCCTTTCTCTTTCCCTGTGGTAGGTATTACCCTATTCTTTATTGAGCCATGTGGTTGGTATTTCACCCTTCTGACCATGATATGGTCTATATCTTTGGGGTCAAGCCTGACCTGTTAGCAGTTGGTTGGCAGGCCCATCCTCACATCTTTGCTTTCCTTCACAGGAATTGGATATGCCTCACAAGTCATTGGGTGCTACCTGAATGTCTACTACATCATCATCCTGTCCTGGGCACTGTTCTACCTGTTCAGTTCCTTCAGTGCAGTGCTACCGTGGGCCAGCTGCAATAACCCCTGGAACACAGGTACACCGTCCCTTGGTAACTTTATAGATCTTTCCCAATTCCCAGAAATTACCTGGGTTTTGTAGAAAATATTTTTTATTTGGCTAAAAAGCTCTCATAAGCTGCAATGTGGTTAGGGACTCTGCAAAGGTCACTATCTTAATTCACCATGGCTGGGTGTCAGGAATGGTGAGTGGTATGACCTTATGCCTAGCAGAAGGGGACAGTAAAACTATTTCCACATGGAGACATTCTGGGTGTTGAGATTTCACTGAAAAATCTGCATTGTCTGGCACGCAAATGAAGTTGGTGGGTTGGGAAAGTTTTCAAGTCAATCTAGAGTCCTCCTCATGTGGCAGGAGATTTTCACAAGCTCTGGTACCACAATTTATCTTACAGTTTCCTTACTCTACCCCACTCCTTTGAAGTTACTGGGACAGCTGCTGCCACTTACTGAACAGCTTTCTTTGTGCATTCAGCTTTAGGCCAGGTCAGGCCAAGCTTGCACTGGAGGGTTTTGACAGCACAGGTCTCCCAGTGCAAGAACCAGTAACACAGAACTCTAAAGGCACTGTTTTTCTGGTCTAATCCCATCTGTACGAGCCTCTTTACCATTACACTGGCAAGGAGTCTCATCTCCTGCCCACAATTCACATAACTGTGCCCAGCAGAGAAAGACTTGGCTTTGGTTTGATTCAAAGCACTTGCCTGGGAAGATGTGGGGTCCTCATGGATTTGATGTCCTTAACAGTCCTTTGATACCAAGTTGAACATGTTTTGCTTTCAGTGGAAAGCCAGGCTGGAAAGAGCTTTGGTGTCAGCTCAACGCTTTCCCTTTTTCTCTTGGGTCAGATGATTCATTTCTGTGATGTGATAAGTTTCTCCATGCCATGGGCCATTCACTCATAATTTCTTCTGCCCCTTTATCCCAGTAGAGGTAACCAGCCTTCTAAAGAGTTGATCTGATTCATTAAGCTCTCCCAGCATGGATTTGTTTGTGAGGAAAGCTACAGATGTTCATTTAACAGGCAGAAGCTTCCCAGCCAGAGCTGGGCTTCCTTGGTTTTCTGGTGGATTATCTTTTGCTTGGCAAATGCAAAATGAAGTGTGTTCTTGGATGAGTGGCATCTCCTCTGTTTTTAGTCATTTTGTGTTATGTGACAAGGTTTGGGATGGCAGAATGAAGCATGAAAGCATCTGTGGTGTGTGTGAACACATGCATGCATATGTTGACAGGGAATGGTGCATGGTGTGGGAGGAGAATAGGATTTTCTTTCCTGGCTCCACATAGTGGCTATCCCTCAATAATCTATATTTTGCAGCCATCTAGTTTCCATTTGGCAGAGAATTGTTCTACCCTTCCCCTCTCCCCTTCCCGAAGCCCTCTGGCTACTGCTGGATTGGGATTTGTAGCTAGGGATAGACAGAGTTTAATGAGATGCTTAATGAGATGCAAGAGTTTAATGGGATGCTTTATAGTATGAGGTGAAGAGTCTGTGTGGTGCCAGAATGAGACTTAGAGTACAGAGGGGAAGGAGAATCCCTTGTAGAGAAGCCCTGGAGGATTTCTCTGGCTCATCAGCTTCCTTTTCTTTTTGTAGATCTCTGTGTGGACATTCTGAATACCTCCAGCCTGGACAACAGGACCTTGCCTGCGAATGCCACCTCCCCGATGATTGAGTTTTGGGAGTACGTGATCACTTTCCCTCTGTGCAGGCTCCTCTCTCACCCCGAGGCTGCAGCCGTGGGAGTACCCAAGCAGAGGGCCGTGCATCTCTGCAGGACAAAGCGAGGTGCACGTCAGGCCCGAACTCAGGGAGCACAATGCATCGAGCTGCCGAGGAGATCGGCACAGAACCCAGGAGCATGAGGACTAGACACACCCCAAAAGCTGCTCACAGTGTGCCTGCCCCAGGGTGCTCCTGTGTGCACACACGCTCAGGCGTGTTGCCTTTCTGGCACCGAGGTGTGGCCACGGAAAGAGCCACCAAAAGAACGTGAGGGCTTGCTGTAAGCAGGGGGAATTTCTGCTGGGTGTTGCAGCTTACTATTGGCAGGCAACAGTCCTCTAGAGTGAAACAGAGAGGAACAAAACTGCTGTTTCCCTTCTTCTGGCCATGTCTTGCTTGGTTCCTAAGGAAGGTGGTTCTTCAGGCTGCTCAGGTTCATCCCTAGAGAGCAGGAATCTGAGATACATGTGTGAGATGACAGAGAGGGGATCGGGGAGGTTTGGTCATGGGCCTGGAGGCAATAAAATGCCTCTGAGGGAGGGGTCCTGCAGCAGGCCAGACAGTGTCCCAGAGAAGGTCATTACTACAGCCTGGAGAGTTTGAAATGGCTGCTGGGGCCACACTACCTCTCCACACTCAGCTGAAGAAGGTCTCATAAAGAACAAGGGTGTCAGGAATACAGCTTCAGCAGTACTTTTTTCCCCCATTTGTGATTCCTAAAGTGCCTCTGAAAGGGTTGAGTGTGCTTTGTCCCTTGCAGCCATCACAAGGCACACATACCATGGGTCCAGAAGGAGTCTGCATGGTGCTCGCCCCCAATCCTGCCCTATTCTTTGCACATGCTATTTAGCAAGATCTTTGACCCTGCTGGAACAATTTTCAGGTTTTCTGCAGAGGTTGCAAGGACAAGGGGACCCTGAGGGAACTGGTTTGGAGAAGGGTGTGCAGAGGAATCACAGGTGTGGGGTTGGGCTTGTGGGAAGTGCATGAGCTGCAGTGCTGGGCTCTCATGTGGCCCACCTTCTTGATGGTGAGTTTTCAAAGAGTGAGGCTGAAGGAAGGGCATGGGAATCACAAAGGCCATTTATGCTTACATATAGGGTGTACATATTATATGGGGAGGCCAGAGGGACAGCAGTGGCCATGTGATGATGATGGCATTGGTGGGCTGCTTTGTACTGAGTAGTGTGTGTTGGGCAGCGGCAAGGGTGGGGGAGCAATGGGGAGCGGGTGGTGATTTTGTGTTGCATGGATCTGATGGGCATGGCACCTTGAGCTTGGAGAAAGGGAGGTCCCAGGCCAGCTACAGGACACGATGGAGCAGTGTCAGCAGG